AAAAAAAAAAACATTCATACTCTTTCCTAAGAACATTATGCTTCAAATTGACTTTGTGCAATTTGCTTTTCCTTGATTTCACTCTCTCTAAAACCGAAATATGAGAACAAAGGCGAACATGAATTAGGAAAAGGGTACTCACCATCACTGCCAGCTGCCTATAGGCCTTCTTCAGTTCAATATCTGATGCTGTGGCTTCAACCCCCAGCACATGGAATGGGTTTAATTCATCCTCAGGAATCCCAGCCATGGTCAAAAGTCGAGTCACTTCCTCTTCTGGCTGACAGTAGCGCCCACTAGCTACAGGTGCATTCCCCTGCCTATTAGTCCTCTGCTTGACCCAAGGCAACTCCAGCCAACCCCACTGAACTAATCTTACCAGCTGCTGCCACAGCCTGCAATCTCTCAGAAGAGTAAAGCATCGCTGTAAAGCTGGAGAATCCAGCCAAGAGAAGAGCCAGGTTGCCTTGTCTCTCCAGCCTAACCGATCACCTAGTCCCACTACAAACCGCCAGCCCAATTGCAGACAGCCCAAAAAGAGAGCCAAAGCCAGGAGTAGCAAAGCACCCAGTAGTCTAAGAAAACGGGTGAACAGTCCTGCCCCACAGTAAAATCCTTGGCTTAGAAACTGGTACGCCACTTGGGCCCAGCTCCCAAACCTCCCTGCCCAGACTCCCACCCAAACTCGAAAAAGGTCAAGATCGCTCCCTTTCAGCTGCCTGCATGCATAGATGAGATGGCCACAAGTTTCCACATACTCTCCCACCAATACCAGAAGTTCGATTAGCCACCAGAAGCCCGCCTGTCCAAGCTGACATAGTTCTTCTGCTCCCCATAATCCCAGGCCTCTGCGCTTATCTGTCTGACTTCGTTTTCGGCCCAGGCGATGTCGACCAGGGGACCTGGGATCTCTCCGCCCAACCTCCCGAGTTTCCTCCTTGGTTGGAAAACGGTGCCGCTGCCTCCGAGATGGGGTTTTTTTCCCACTGGACACATGTGAAAAATCACTGGGGAACTTAAGAGGTTCTTCATCATCATATTCTTCTTCCAACTCTTCATCTTCCCCCAAGGCTGGAGAGGTGCAATGGTGGCAAAAGTTGCTGGAAGAACCATCTCCTGCCTCAGAGAAAGACCCTTCGGGGATATGAAGGGTCCTCTGGCAGTTACAAGCAGATGGAATGGAAAGAAATAAAGGGTTCCCATCCTCCTGGTACCCAGCCTCACTCTCTCGGCAGAGTTCCTGGTCCACTCCTGACTCTTCTTCTGAAGATGCCTCACTCTGATCAGGTTCTTCTCCTTCTCTAGGTGGTCCTGGACCCCTTGGGGGGCCATGGCTTGGATCAGACCAGTGGGCTGGGTTTGGGAGCTGTGTGTACTTAGGCCCAGAGTGCTCTGTGAGGCAGCGGGTACCATTAGGAGCAGTCCCTGCTGAGTCCCTGAGTTCGGAGAAGGAAAGTATTTCAGGGTTCACCGAGGGTCCTGAAGTCCTGAGGGAGGCACCACCGCCGTGGTGGGCTCCACACAACCCTCTTTCTCGGTGGGCTCCACACAACCCTCTTTCTCGGTGGGCTCCACACAACCCTCTTTCTCCGGGGTGCTTCTGGGCCATTTCCCCGGGGCTTCCTGAGGATTTTAGGTCACAGCCATCATGGTACGTTCTGCTGCCTGTAAAAGAAGGTTATCAAGGGAGGAATGGTCAAGGGTGGGACCCAGGAAGTCTTGAGTACAAAGTCTTGAGTCCAAGTTCACCGTACCACTCCCCCCCCCTCCCCCAGTGACACCATTTTAATCCCAGGTTCTTTGGTGTGGGCATTCCCTAACCCTAACGGTACGCCCAGGGAGTCATCAGACCACAACCCTAACAGCAACCTATCCCCACCCACCCCACTTCCAAAGCTTCAAAGTTTTCTGTTTTTCCCAGGAGGCGAAAATAGTCCATCAAGGAACGTGTGTGTGTGTGTGTGTATGTGTGTGTGTGAGAGAGAGACAGGGACAGAGAGAAAGAGAGGGGCCGCAAAGGGTGTGGTCGGGGTAGGGATGGTCTCTCTCTCACTCCCTCTCAGAAAAAAGGGAAAGCCGGGCGGGCCGGGGGGAGCGGGGCGGGGGTCCCGACGGCCAGGGAAGGGTGGGGACCTGGAGACTCTCCAGGAAAAGCGGGCGGGGTGGGGGCGAGGGCGGAGCTGAGGATCGCCCCCGAGAAAGCCCCCCGGGTGACTCACCCGGCTGGACGGCAGGGGCGAAGGTAACGTACCGAGCAGCGGCGCTAACTCCTCCCCCTCGAGCAAGCCGGGCCTGATGCCAGGGGGAGCTACGAGCGCAGCTCCCCCGGCTCCGCCTCCCGCTCCCGCTCTGCTTCCGCCTTCCGTCCCCGCCGCAACCAAAGAGCTGCGCCGACTTCCACTTCCGGGGTCACGGGGCGGGGCGGGGGGGGAGGAGAGGAGGGAGGGGGGAGACAGGAAGGAAAGGGAAAAGCGGTTGGCTGGGGCACGAGCCAGTCGCAGCTATCCCTGAGTCCAAACAAGAGGAAAGCGGCCCTGGAGAGACCCCCCCCCTTGGTCCCGCCTCTTAAAGGGCCATCCTCCGTCGCCCTCTGAGTGCTGGAAAGGCTTGTTCACGCCAGCCGGGCTGCTGGAGGCGAAGTGGGCTCTGCAGGCTAGCGGGGAAGGGGAGGAGAAGAGGGAGGGACCGACTCTCAGAGTTGCTCTGGCTTTGTAGCTCAGCTCTGCAGGAACTGGGAGATGGAGGACAGCCGCCGAGCCATTACACTTCTCTTTCCCTTGCCAATAAACAAAAAAAAAAAAAACAACGGGGAGTCTAGGGGAAGTCACCGCCCTGGTCCTTTCCTGGCCGGCTGCAGAACAGAAGCCCCTTTGTGTCCGGCCTAAGTGGAACGGAGAAGACGGTGCCGCAGGCTGCCCCCCCCCCCAGCCCCGGCTCCAGGCTCGGCCCCTCCTCCTCTCCAGGCAACCCTTGGCCTACCCCCCTCCCCCCCGCCCCGGCTGGCGGGCGGCCTCGGTAACAGTAGCTCCCACGCCCCGGGCCCGCCCCCTCCGGACGCGACCCAGTCCAGGCATGGGGCTGGGGGGGGGGTGCCCTGGGAGCGGGACTCCGCGGGGCTCCGAACCCCAGCCAAGTGCCACAGAACACTGCCCTCCGCAGGCTGCTTCGCACTCATTTGCATACCAAGCCCCCACGGCCGACGTCGACCCGCAGCCCCCCAGCTCCCACGCAGACCCCCGGGGTCTCCCCTTCTGTGCACACGCTTCTAGCCTTACAGTTCTGTCAATGCCCCGTCTTGCTCCGCAAGTACTTTTCCACTCAGCCCACCACCAGCGCCCCCAGATCAGTAAAAGTCCCTTCCCCGGCTCCCGAGCCTGACCACCCGGTTCTCCAGCAAGACAATACTCCAATTCTCTGGGAAGTGGAAGAAACCAAACTGGAGCCAGGGGGTCGTTTGCATCCCCACTGAGGGCTTTGAGAGCTTCGAGTTGTCGACTCGGCTTAGACGCATTGGAGACATTTCTCCAAATCTCCTGATGTGTCTCCCCAGTCTTTGCTCTGCTATGATTGGGGAGTCTCTGGCTCTGAACTAGAGCACTAGGCAATCTGAGTCCCCCCTTCCCCCCCAAACCCCCCATACTGAGGGGAAGGATTGGAGGGTCCCGCCCCGTGATGTCACCCCTCACACACACACACTCACACACACACACACACACACAATCCCCCCCCCTTCCTCCCCTCCACCCCCCACCTCCAAGCTAGTTGCATTTAGTTCACTGGGCTTGAGCCACGACTTGCAAGAGTTTAGGGTGCAACGAACAAGAGTGGCTGGCCCTGGGAGTGCCGGCGGCCAACAATCACCCGGGCACCCTGGACCTCCGGGCTGGCTAGGATGCAGCTGGGGGTCTAGGGAAGCATTTCGCCCCCTCTCCTCAGCCATGGCAGGGTGGTGAGTAGTTAACACTCCCCTCCCCAACTTCCTCTTGTTTAGGATCCCAGATTTCCAAGCGTCTTGAGAAGAGCCCTGGGACTTTTTCGAGCCAACCTTCAGTCTGTTAGGACTTTGGTACTAAAAAGACAGCTGAAGGAAAGTGCCTGAAAATCACACTGCCCCATTCTTACCATATCTCAGGATCTGAATTCAGATCCCACTCGCAGCCCAGACATTCCCAGGAGAAAATAATGAGTTAGAAAAGTCCTATCAGTGTCCTGAGGGGAGGAGCAAGTGGATACAGGGATTTGAGGTGTCTATGGGCTAGGGGCCTTGCATATTCCTTGTGGAACCCTGGGATTTGGATAGTGCTTGTTCCCCCCTTCCCCCAACTCCATCTCAGCATGTAGCCTAGACTTCAAAACCCTGTGACCGTCTCTACTTGATTCCTTGTCTCAAACTCGTTTGGTGTCTGTTTTTTTTCCTTCCTTGGGGTTGGAGCAGCTGTCCTAAGACCCCACCATGACTCATTCTCTCCTCTTCTTCCTTCCTCTCCCCTCTCTATTTAACCCCACCCCTTTCCATTCCCATTAAGTAGTATTGAGCTCCAGCTGCAGATGAGGCAAACTTTCTTTTCAGCTGGAACAAGATGGTGAGGCTTTTAGCATAGCTTTAATGCCCTTTATAGATCTAGCACTTCCTATTCTTCTCCCCCCTGGAAAACTAGAGGATAGACAAAGCCTTATTATCTCATGAGACTTTCACTTGTTTAAGTTTTACTTTATATCCTTGGTTCAGAGGATGGGAAAACTCCCCTGTGCACCATCTTGTAGACTTCTTTACTTACCACAACCAGGTCATCTTCTCTTCTGAAACTGGCCATTCTTCAAAAGAAATTGTGATAGATTTGTCTTCAAGATTCATGAATACCTCAGTTCCTGCTCTGTATCCTTTTGCAGGTTTCCCAACCACCTCAAGACATTTATGGATGGATAAAAGGAGCTGACACTAACCTCCAATCCTGTGAACACCTTCTCTTCAGCCATGGAGAAAACCTTGATGCCCTTGACTCTGACATCTGACCCAAGGCCCTTTAATCAACAACTCTCAGAGCCTCCCAATTCAAGATGTGTCTTGGAACCCCAGGACAATCCGGAACTGGCGCCCACCCTGGTGTGTGCTCTTTGCTGCTGCTTTGGAATCATCTACTGCTGCTTCGGTGAGGGCAGGGCCAAGGTTCTGGGAGGAAGCTGCCCACAACTATTACCCTCAAGGGGAACAGTTCTTCTTTTGCTCCTGGGTCACCTCACCTTCTCCATCAGAAATGCCTACTTTCAGAGTGGCCTGTACTGCCTGCCGTCTTTATGTCCATCCCCCTGGCCCATCCCGCTAGCTGTCACCTCTCTGGCATTCTCTACCCTCCTTTCCCAACTCCATTCCCAAATGATCCAAACTCTACTATTTCAAAACTCCATTCCCAAATTATTCTTCATGCATGAGAAAAATACCTGTAAACCAGAATGAGTCTGTAGTCATTTTTTTCCTGTGTGCCATCCCTGAGAACCAGCTAGACCTTCCTGTATATATCCTCCTCAATGCATCCATCTTACCCTCCTGACTTTCCTTTCCATCCACTTGCAGTTTCTGAATACCCTCTTTCCCTCCTGGAGCTTAACCCATCCCTCCCCTTTGCCTTGAAGTCCCCTTGCTTTGCTGTTCCCATTTTCTGCTTCTCTTCTAATTTACCAGAGCCATTCCTAGAGATCCCTCTTTCTACCTTTCAGTACCTCCTACTTCTCTTCCCAGGCTACCGCTGCTTCAAGGCAGTCATGTTTCTCTCCGGCCTGCTGTCAGGAGCTCTGGTGATCTTCCTGCTGTGCCACAAGGAGCGGGTGCTGGAGACACAGCTGAGCCTAGAAGTGACTGCGGGCATCGCGCTTGGCATTGGCCTCCTCTGTGGTCTCGTCACCATGCTGGTTCGAAGTGTTGGACTCTTCCTGACTGGTCTCCTGCTGGGCCTGACCTTGGGCATCGGGATCCTGCTGGGTACTGAACCCATCTATCAACCACCCTCAGCCTGGGTGCCAGCCGGGGGACTGGTGGGACTGGCACTACTGGGAGCCCTGCTCACACTTCGGTGGCCACGTCCATTCACAGTTTTGGGCACAGCCCTTCTGGGTGCTGCAGTGCTAGTGGCCTGTGCTGACTACTTCCTGGAGGGGCTGGCACTGGGTAGTCGGCTGGGCCAACGTCTGCAGGCACTTCCAGACTTGCCTCCTCTCTGCTGGTATAGCTGGGTGTTATTGGGCACCTGGCCTGCTTTGGGAGCTCTTGGAGCCCTAGCCCAATGGAAACTCATGGCTGAAGAATGTGAAGGCCCTGCTAATGGTGAGTTAGTGCTACAGTATTTGAACAGCCAACCTGTGCCTACTAATGTCCTCACTTCACAGACTTTAAGAGGAGAGGGGAGAAACATTGGAAAGAGGATACAAGAGGATATCTAAAGTCAACAGGGAAGCTGGGCACTGGTGGCTCACACCTGTAATCCTAGCTAGTCAGGAGGCTGAGAACTGAGAATATGGGTTCAAAGCCAGCCCCAGCAGGAAAGTCTGTGAGACTCTTATCACCAATAAATCACCAGAAAACTGAAAGTGCCACTGGGGCTCAAAGTGATAGAGCTCTGTCTTTGAACAGAAAAGCTCAGAGATAGTGCCCAAGAACTGAGTTCAAACCCCATGTCTGAGTGAAAAAAAAAATAGATTAAATAACATAAAAAATAAGATCAACAGGGAAGGAAAGTTAGAGGTTACATAGCCAAAGGAAGTCTGGGTAAAAATGAGAAAACCCATTGTCAGGGGATACAGGGATTGCTATGAAATCAAAGGAGAATCACAGAGAGTAGAATCTCAGAAAGTAGAATTCCAAGCTGAGTGCCCAAGACTCATGCCTGTCAACATAGCGACTCAGAAAGATGAGATCTGAGAGGATCGCAATTCAAAGCCAGCTTGGGCAGGAAAGTCTGTGAAACACTTAGCTCCAATTAACTACCAAAAAAAAAAAAAGCCAGAAGTAGAGCTGTGGCTCAAGTGGTTGAGTACCAGCCTTGAACAAAAAGGCTCAAGGATAGCACTCAGAGTCAGGGTTCAAATACTGGTACCAAACCAAAAAAAAAAGAGCCAGAATTGGTTGAGACTTGAGAAAAATACAACAGGAAACTCCAAATGGATTTATACACAATGGGAGTCTTTTTTTGTCGGTCGTGGGGCTTGAACTCTGGGCCTGGGCGCTGTCCCTCAGCGCTTCAGCTCAAGGCAAGCACTCTACCACTTGAGCTACAGCACCACTTCCGGTTTTCTGGTGGTTTATTGGAGATAGGAGTCTCACGGTCTCTCCTGCCCGGGCTGGCTTTGAACCGTGATCCTCAGATCTCAGCCTCCTGAGTAGCTAGGATTACAGGCGTGAGCCACCAGCGCCCGGCTTGGGAGTCTGTTTAGGGTTGAGGATTTTCAGACCCTAAAGAGGCCTCCTTCTTTTTTTTTTTTTGGTTTTTGTTTTTGTCGGTCATGGAGCTTGAACTCTGGGCCTGGGCGGCTGTTCCTCAGCTCTTCAGCTCAAGGCAAGTGCTCTACCACTTGAGCTAGAGCACCACTTCCGGTTTTTTAGTGGTTTATTGGAGATAACAGTCTCACGGTCTTTCCTGCCCGGGTTGGCTTTGAACCTCGATCCTCAGATCTCAGCCTCCTGAGTAGCGAGGATTACAGGCATGAGCCACCGGTGCCCAGCTTAAAAAGGCCTCCTTGATTCTGTATTGCCCCTTTTCAAGCAGTGATCCTGAGCCACCAGCAAAGGCATTTCCAGCTCCTTCGGATCCCTCAGCAAGAGGCCAAGTGGCACCGGACCACCTCTGGAGCCAGACTGTGTGAGGGCAGCCATCATCGCCAGCTCCCTACCACCAATTCCAGGAGCCCTGCTGACAATCTGGCACCTGTGAGTGGATGGATGGGACACCCTGGAGGGTTAGGGGTGAGATAGGGCAGAGGGTTTAGGGAAGGGTTAGCTTAGGTCATAGCTGATAGCCGAACTGTTCTAATCCAGGCCCTTCTTCTGCCCTGTACCCCTTTAGAGTTATCTCCAGAGTCTTCGGGAACGCCATCTGGGACCAAGTACCCAGGCCACAGCCCCTCACATCATCTTGGACCTGGATTCTGACTGTTCCTCTGTCCCCCTCACCTTGCCCTCTAGCTCCACCTAGTTCTGAACTTAAACATCTACTGAACTTACAAATCTACCCTTATTGAGGGCCTGGAATGCTAAGTGGGGAGGATTTGAACTCAGAACTCACACAAATTTCTCACTTTTTGGACTTGGGGGTAGGATCTGTGCTCCAGACCAGTCCTTATAGGGATGTCTTTCAGGGACAGGCAGCCAAGAGTCTTGTAGGGAGTGAGGGAGAGGGATGAAACATAAGTACCTCTATCTAATGGAAGTGCCTTAGTCCTTAGCGAAACTTTAGCCTTAATTCCCTACAGACTAAGGCATTTTTTTGTTTTACAGTACCTTGGTTTTGAGCCCAGGGCCTTGTACATCCTAAGCAAGCACTCTACCACTAAGCTATACCCTTGTACCCCAAAATGCCTTACAAGGGCTGGGAAGGTAGCTCAGTGGTAGAGCGCTTGCCTTGCATGCCTGAGGCCCTGGGTTCGATTCCTCAG